AAAGCTATGTATGAATATATAAAGAGCTTGATGATATGGCCAAAAATGTTGTCAACATAAAAATGTTCAGTATGAAGTATCAAATTTTCAGTGGATATTTATAATTATCACAATAAATGTCACATTTTATTTCTTTTAGGTTTTAAGACCAATTTTTGATCCTGAGAGTGATTTTGAACTCTTCTATGGGCAGAAAATGAAAAATGGTACAGATCTGAGTTAGATCAATTCTGTATTATACCCCCTCTTTCTATTGACCGAAATTATACTTAAATAATTATTGATATTGTTTTTTTGCCCAGCCCCAACTATAAATTATAATCACTGTGAAAAAAGGGTGTTTTCTATTCAATGATATTAATTTGGTGACAGGAGTTGTATCAGAAAACTGTAGCTCAGACATGGCTTGTGTGTGTTATGGGAGTTGAAGCGTTTGAACTCTATAAGCCACAGTTGTAAATATAAAAAAATGTAAAAGACTGATAGTTTTGTTTTGCAGCTGACCAGTCTCCATGAAAATACAAAATGCAAAAACCAGATGTTGACCAAAAGTGGATTTTGCACAGAGATGAATCGATATCAGTGTTTGTGTAAAGTCACGAGAGGAGGAAAAGCGCCCAAAATGTAAAACACAGAAGCTAAAATCTATAATAAAGGACAAACTGCCAGTTGCCCTTTCACCTTCTGTTCTAGACTTCTTTTCACTGATCTTTCTTCTCGGAGTCAGTGCATCACACCATGGTTTTTGATGATTTTTTTACAGGGCTTCATGCTGTTTCTGTCTCTTTCTTACTGAATATTCATTGCCAACACAGACATAAACAAACGCACCATTACACTTATACTATTTCCTTCTTACTCCATCAGAGCAAATCTTTTCAAATATTGTTTGTATGGCTTTTTATGGGAACTATAGAGCAAAGGGAGGCCAAGGCATTAAGAATAAAAGATTTTAAAGCAAACAGACATCTTCACATGTTGCTCTTGAATCCTACCTCCCTCTAATTTTCTGTTTGGGGGCTTCAGCAAAGTGCATGTGCTGTAAAGACAGGGGAAGAGAGAGGGAAAGGGAAAGGACTAGGCAGACAGTTGTCCTTTGAGCGCCCCAGACAGACCCTCCTCTCCCTCCTGCTGTCTGCAGCGATCCTGTCTGCCCACACCAGCCTGCACGAGCACACAACCACCATCACACAGAGGCAGGGAGAGAGAGAAGGAAGAGACAGCTGGGTGTGTGTAAGAAACAAAGACGTGAACTGTGCCGGATGAAAGACGGAGCAGACAAACAGACAGAGATGACAGAGAGTACAGAAGATTCAAAATAACGCTTCCCCTGCTACTGAGGCAGTCACTGGTTGGTACACTAATGAGCTGTTCAAATGAGGAGAAGGTCAGAGTTTCATGTTTGTTATGCAGAAATGTAAATGCAGCCAGGTTTCATGGACAATTCTACTGTCTGGTTGGTTTTCTTTCAGGCGTTTGTTGCATGAATGAAAATGACAAAAAGATTCTATGTGCAGAGCCTTATCGTAATCTTAGTTTGATTTGTTGTCTTTATTTTTGTGTCATGCACAGAACTGCCCAAACCCAAACCCATAGGTTTAAAGGATGCTTAGAGCACAGTTGCAGTCGTCCATCAATTACTGTATTTTACGGCTTGGTCTTATACAAAAAATTAAATTCTGCCTTCTTTCCCACCTTACAAAAATATATGCCAACAAATCTTTCTGGAAGCACAACTCTTCATATTCATACAACCAAAAGACATCAGCACAAACAGCACAAAAAGAAAAAAAAGGATCTATATATACACAGTATATACTGTATATATACACACTCAGTAGGCCCATCAGTAGCTTTTCTTTTAATCAAGCAGCACCAAATTTCACACATCAGTTCCATAAATTAACTACATTTTTTCATCAAGATCCATGAATTATTATTCGGGAAAATGAAGAAAATATTTTTAAAAAACTCAAGTCCATCTCACAATATTAAAGAGAGTGAAAACAATTATTCCTGGATCTGCCCACTGATCTGGATCTGTGCCAAAATGTAATGACTATACCTAGACTTTTATCAGGTTTTGTGGAAATCAGATTTTTTTCTGTTATCTTACATATAAACCAACAAACGGGTTAAAACACACACTAAAAAATAAAATAAAAAAATTATATACTGGTTGTTATTCTCAATTTAAACCCTAAGCCAGGAGACAGTCAGGATATAGATGGAATTTAAAAGGAGGAATTAAATAAAACTCAGTAGCGCTTATACTTCAAGGATCAACAATGCTTCTCTTCCCCTATGAAACCACATTTAAATTTACTAGATCCAGACATATATTTGGGTCTGCATGAAATCTCACACACTAAACATGCCAGATTTTTCTCATCATGATCTTTGAATTATTCTCTGAGAAATCAATACAATTTTGAAAACATAAAAAGAAAAATAAATAAATAAATAAAAAGAAAAATAATAATCTTCTGGTGGAGTTCGCAAAACTGCCGCCTTTCACTTTTATGATTTGAAGCTGGTTTTGAATCAGCAGGAACATTATGAATGTATGCCTTTGTTGCCCTCCTTGTGATTGATAGAGAGCAGTAGCTTTTCTAAGCAGCTCAGGTCTCAAAGGTTACTGGAAAATCTATTTTAGTCAGAAAGTAACAATAAATCACTCAAGGTGCAGTGTAGAAAAATGTCACCACCTACACTATCAAAATTTCATCAGCATAAAACATGAAAGATGTCACAGTACAGTCTAGTAAATACCATTCAGAAACACCACAGATGTCACCAAAATAAAAGGATATTGCGGATTACCAGTCTAAAGGATAGAATGGCAAGTCAAATCCCTACTTCAGCTAATGAGTTTTTTTGGTTTTTTTTAACCCAAAATGGATATACAGCAACTTGAATTCCTCTTTGGCTGCATTGTTGCCTAGAAAGCTATAACCCTGAGTTTAAATTACATTGCTCTTCTAAATTCTTCTGAAGGGGAGCAGAAAATCTCTGGACAGCAAATCTGCAGAGCAGTTTGGGAAAGTGATCGTCTGTGCCTGCTTTCAGAGCTGATGAAACAGCATCAGAGTGAGCATCGTGAGGAGCTGGAAGGTTGTGTTGAACCCTCCAGGCGATCAGGACTGATGGATCATCCTCAGAGGTCAAGGTTCAGAGTGAGGAGCCAAGTTTACATACCAGCTGAGGCTCCATGAGTTGGAGCTATGAAGCTGGCCTAATTTTCTTTTGTTTTCTGGGAGATCTGGAATTTCCTTGAACAGCTGCATGAAGTGAAGCCATTCAGGAAGTAAATGGACAGCGATGAGATATGTCGAGCACAATTGATGGAGCTGACCTTAATACTCTGCTCAGCATTACTGCAAAAAACTCCAGAGGTTTAATAATGATGGATGAACCTGGAAAGTGATGTTTGTCAGATACAGTGATGAGGAGAGGAGATGATAGAAGAAGAGAGAGTTAAGCGGAGGTGGTGATGAAATGGAGGGAGCCTGAATGTCTTCTGCTCTCTTGTTTTGACACGGCTGAATGTGAAGCGCTGACATTATGTCGAGATAAACTGATGAAGTGGAGAGATGAGCGTGTGCTTTTACACAGAGAGGCTGAAAGAGGAGAGGATGTCTCTATGAGAGCGTTCCTCCGTCCTCAGACTGGTGGACAGGTTCAGCGCCAGGTCATGGCCGGTTCAGAGTCGTCACTCAGGTGGTGGGGGGAAACTGCCGATCTCAGAAAACAGAGATCGTTCTGAATATACGTTCATGCAAGGAGAACAACAAGAGAGGAAGGGAAGATGTGGAGATGAACACAACAACAAGAAATCTGA